TCGTTATAGTTGTATGTATACGTACGGGTCAGTATACACACGTACGTTTCCCAGCTCTGTCGGCCAAGAGGCCCAAGAAACAGACATCTCCGTAGCAACAAGCACACTGAGGAACCAGAGCTTGGTTTCCAATGCTACTCTTCAATAAAAGGAACCAGGGTGCCCAAGGGAAACAGCTAAATCCAGGGCAGAAAATATACGAGATGAGCCTAATGCATCTTGTAGTGACCAAAAGTAAGAAAGCGTTCAATCAATCAGTCAACCAACCCATCAACCCCACTGATATCAAAGGGACACAGGAGACAACCAGAAGAGCTTCTCATGGCCTAAGACCATCTTTAATCTCTACCCACACGGTGGGGCTCAGACTCACAACCCTGAGACCAAGAGTCACACATTCTTGGGGGTGCCTGGGTGGCTCAGTTGGTTAAGAGTCACACGTTCCACCGACTAAGCCTGCCAGGCGCCCCCTTAAACCTAGAACATCTTCTTTTTCATTTTTTTAAAGATTTTATTTATTTATTTGACAGAGAGAGAGAGCGAGAGCAGGAACACAAGCAGGGGGAGTGGGAGTGGGAGAAGCAGGCTTCCCGCTGAGCAGGGAGCCCAATGCAGGGCTCGATCCCAGGACCCCGGGATCATGACCTGAGCTGAAGGCAGACGCTTAACGACTGAGCCACCCAGGTGCCCCAACCTAGAACATCTTGAGCAACAAAATAAATAAGCCATACTGGACTACAACCCAAGGTTTAAAATAATAGAGTCATGCTGATATAAGTGACTAAGTAACAAATAACTGGGCAAAAGGGACAAATCTCTCAAACGGAAGAATTCCAAATAATTTGTGTACACACTCTGACCTCAAGGAGGTAGAGTACACCCCCATTCGGTAGGTGTGGGCGGGCATCATGACCTCCTTACGAAGAGTACAGCACAGGAGGCTGGTGACCTGACCCAACCGGCCAGGTGGTCAAAATCAACATCATCAGCAAGAAAGCACATCGGTAACACATACCATGAGGGGCGCCTGAACAGTCAACACTTGATTGCAACTCAGGTAATGATCTAAGGGTTGTGGGATCAAGTCCCACGTTGGGCTTCCTCCGATCAGCAGGGAGTCTACTTCAGGATTCTCTCTCTCTCCCTCTGCCCCTTCCCCCGCCGCTTGCTCTCTCTCTAAAAATAAATACATAAATCTTTTTTTTTTTTTTAAAGATTTTATTTATTTGAGAGAGAGAATGAGATAGAGAGAGAGAGCACAAGACAGGGGAGGGTCAGAGGGAGAAGCAGAATCCCTGCTGAGCAGGGAGGCCAACGCGGGACTCGATCCCGGGACTCCAGGACCATGACCCGAGCCGAAGGCAGTCGCTTAACCAACTGAGCCACCCAGGCGCCCCTAAATCTTTTTTTTAATGTACCCTTGATATGATGTGATGAAAATGGTATCTTACTCTGTGGTCTTCCTCCCAAAAACCCACAACCCCAGTCCACCCAAGTCCAGTCATGAGGAAAACATGAGATAAATCCCAACTGTGAGATATCCCTCCTCAAAACTATCAAGGTCAGGGCGCCTGGGTGGCTCAGATGGTTAAGCATCTGCCTTTGGCTCAGGTCATGATCCCAGGGTCCTGGGATCAAGTCCCGCATCAGGCTCCCTGCTCAGAAGGGGGCCTGCTTCTTCCTCTCCCTCTGCTGCTCCCCCTGCCTGTGCTCTTTCACTCTCTCTGTCAAATAAATAAATAAAATCTTAAAAAAAAAAAAAAAGCTATTGGGCGCCTGGGTGGCTCAGTTGGTTGAGCGACTACCTTCGGCTCAGGTCATGATCCTGGAGACCCCGGATCGAGTCCCACATCGGGCTCCCTGCTCGACGGGGAGTCTGCTTCTCCCTCTGACCCTCTTCCCTCTCGTGCTCTCTATCTCTCATTCTCTCTCTCAAATAAATAAATAAAATCTTTAAAAAAAAAAAGCTATCAAGGTCATCGGAAACAAGGAAAGTCTGAGAAACTGACAGCCAAGAGGAGACTTAAGGAGCCCTAACTATATGTAACCTGGTTTACTGGGTAAGGTCTTGGAACAGAAAAGCGACCTCGGTAGAAAACCCAAGGGAATCTTTTTTTCTTTTTTAAGACTTTATTTACTTATTTGAGAGAGAAAGAATGAGAGAGAGAGAGAGAGAGAGAGCGCAAGAAGGGGGTAGGGTCCAAGGGAGAAGCAGGCTCCCCACTGAGCAGGGAGCCCGATGCAGGACTCAATCCTGTAACTCCAAGATCATGACCTGAGCCGAAGGCAGTCTCTTAACCAAATGAGCCACCCAGGCGCCCAAAAACCCAAGGGAATCTGAACAATGTACAGGCTTTAGTTGATAAATACATACCGATATAGATTCATCAACTGTGCCGAAGGCACCATGCTAGCATATGATGTTAATAGCAGGGAAAAGCTGTGTGTGTGTGTGTGTGTGTGTGTGTGTGTGTGTGTGTGTGCGCACGCGCGCGCAGGAAGTGAAAGGGGTGACATGGGAACACTCTGCACTATCTGCCCAACTTATCTGGAAATCTAAAGCTGCTCTAAAATTAGAAGTTACTTTTAAAAATGTAACAGAAAATGATGGAATGGCTCCTTTGGACTGGATTGCTACCAAAGGTCTCTGGGAGAGGAGGTCTAAGATGAATCGAGAGATAAGAAAGGCAGCTGGACCCAGAGCAGCACGTTACCGGCAAAAGACACAGGACACACGGGGCCCCCGAGAGGGACCAGAGGGAAAGGAGGTGGGGCAGTTCAAATGGAGTCAGGGAGAGAAATTGGTAGAGTCCAACAGAAGGTCACAAATGAAGGCAAATGGGTTGACCCAGGTAGGTAGGCCATAGTGACCTCCAACTTGAGCCGAAGGAAACTGGCAGGTCAGTGGAAGGAGTTCACAAGATGATCAGGATCTCATCTGTCTTCTAAGAGCACCTCGCTGCTGTAGGGACAGGACCAGAGTGGGACAATGAAACAAGGGACAATAGTCACCCCAAGGGGATCATCACTTCAGATGCCACAGTCACTGGGAGATGCAAGCTGGTGAAGAGCTAGGAGCATCCCGGGGGTCTGAAAGAAGACGAGAGGAGGGCTCTCCCACACAGAGTGGGGGGGGCCTGAGCAAAGTGGGCCTCCCGCCGATGGACGATCCCTGAGTTTGACCCTTTTGGAAAAGTCTCCACAACGAGGCTACAGGGCATTCCACGCACTCAGTGCTCAGGAAGGAAGCACCTCCTTGGTGGTAGCTGGAGCCTCGGTTCGATCCCATCCTGCATTTACCACCTGTGAGAGGTTGCTAGGCAGAGCCTCAGTGTCCTCATCTGCAAAATAGGAACAATACCTCCCACCTCCTAAGGGGACTAGAATAATTCAAGAAGAAAAGGCTCCTGATACAAACATGGCCTTTGTAAATACTGTCAGTGAGCGTTAGTTCTACAAGAGAACCCAAGGTGGAAGGATCTTAGAATCTGACCCAACACCCCATTTTAAAGATAGGAACATGAAGGCACAGAGACAGAAAGCGTGCAAATGAGCACAGTGAGGACAAAGACCCTGTGTCCCATTCTCCGGTGTCTCTGTCCCAAATTCCATTCTGACCACAAGGGGAATGGGAAATGCTCCCTCGTCAGCAACTATCTAAAGACCCCTCTACGGGAAGGTTCTTTCCTTGCTCAAAACTTCCCCATGGCTCTCCTGATCATTACAGGTGCTGCTGGCCCAGCGGGGGGCAGGGGAGGGCTGTGATGGAAAAGGCAGTGGCCCTCTGACTAGGCCTACCCTCCCCAAACCCTCAGTCTGCTCCATTGCTCAGGCACACCCCCTCTACCCCCTCCACCTCCAGGCACAGACCACCCACTCTGGCAGCCTGGCCTTCTCACCTAGGGCACCCCCCACCCACCCGGCCAAACCATGCCGCACCCCCCATCTGTGAGGCCAGGCCCCAACAACAGCCAGAGTCACAGCCCTCATTATCTGACCCTCATCTTTGCCCCAAATGACAGGGCTATCTTATAAAAAGCCTCAAAAAGCTTTGTTGTTTTAGATTCCTCTAGGGAGCCAGCCACTTCTTATAATGCTCTCTAGCTGGATTCTAGAAAGTTCTAGAATCTTTCTGGCAGTCTGCAATAACCCTTCTCCCAACCCTATCTCCCCCATAACCCTCAGCTCAGAGCAGACACTTAGGGACTTGTCGAAGGAATACCAGCACCTTGGTACAACCATTAAGCTTGGAAATGAGCATTTTCATCAACCAAAGATGTGGAAAATGCTCCAGTAGCTCATTCCTAAAAACATCCTGAAGGCAAAAACTGAGTAACTACTTCCTTCTGGGAAGCCTCCTACAATTTCACACAGACCAAATGAAAAGTACCAATCCCACAATTAGAAGATTTTGAGGAGTCTAACGCAGGATTCTGAATTAAAACATCAACTGTGTTTGCTCTAATTAGCTAAATTTTGTCCTAAATGCAAACGCTATCCCCAGCATTCCACAAAGTCCTACGTTTCCTCTTTATCTCTAACCAAGACCACCGTTTTCCAGGGAGGGCCAACTCTGTTTCATTTCTGTGATTCCGAAGAGGACTGTTATTAAAATCAGAAACCCAACAGCATCTGGACTCTCTGGTTGCTTCTAGCACCTGCGTTATTTAAACGGTGAATTCCTAAAAGTCACCCTGCAGAGAGGCAAGGAGCCACCCTCCCCCTCAGTCATCATACATATGTAAAATTTACTGTTGGGACAATCCCCACCCACCATCCCATAGGTAGTTCTACCTACACAGACACACAAGGGAAAAGAAATCAAAAGGAGAAGATTTCTCCACAAATTAGGCCCATCCATCAAAGGTTCCTCTCAAAATCAGAGGAGTGTTACAGCCTCGGATCCTTACAGCCACACTTCACTGCGCCACGACAACTAGAAAAAGAAATTCCAATTTCCTCCTCTGCTCTGGAATAGATGGTACAAGATTTTTACTCACCTTTGGAGCGAGTAGAGATATCCATGCCCTCTACCACCTCCTGTTCAGTTTTTATTTCCTCTTCGGCCAAGCTGAAACAGAGCAAATTATGTTCACATTTAGGTAGACTGAGAACTTGCCCCATGGGGGCCGCTATTGAGAAGTTCTAACAACAAACCCACATTGAAGACAATCCCCCATCCTTTCGGAGGGCCGGGGGGAGGGGGTACCCCCACACTTGATTTCCAACAATGTGCTAAGTAAGACTCCTAAAGGAGTTTTTCAAACCACTAGGTTGTTCTTTTTTTAAGTCAAATTACTATTCCAGTTGTCATGCTGCTGGGGGATGCAAAAAAGCACATTTTTAGACACACAATTACAATCTGCCCCCGTGGGCCACTGAGAACCGAGCCGGCAAGTAAACAAGTTTCTCCTTGTTAACACCGGGTTCAGGTTGGAGGTGCTTCACAAGGTACCCATAGTTCTGATCTCTGAATGCTGCAAGGCAGAGAGCATTTCCCATACCTCCCGGCTAATTCTTAAAATTACCCGATGAGGCAGAAAGAGGAAAAAAATATATATAGGTTAAACTGAAAAGTGGGAGAATATGCCCAGGTTAGAAGCAAAAGGCCTGGTCTCAAAACATTCAAACCACGAGCACTTATCCCAGGAATTAGGCTTGGGGTGTCCATACTCCCACCTCCTGGATGTTTCCTCTCTGTTGCACGCATGGCTTAGAGCAAGCATTCAGCACTCTTGAGCTGTGACTAATTATCCCCCACCACAAAAGTGGAATGAGGAAGGATTATTTAAAAGACAGGCTGAGAGTTGGGGGTTGGGGAGAGAGGGGAGGGGGGCAGCGGGAAACAGGCCCCTTGGCTGGGAAGGTCCACCAGAATCTTCTCGCACTCTCTCGGCTGGCTGAAACTCCATTTGAATGGAGTGCAGGCCACTTCATGTGCCCCCCCCCCCACACACACACACACACCTCCCAGGCAAGCCGGTAGAGTTCTGCTTTTATAGGGGCAAAATGTTTGAGGTGCTGGAACCTTCCAAGCCTTCAGGCTGACAATGAAGTGATAAGAATATGGGCAAAGTACTCTAGCGGCAACTCCATCAGTCTGTGATTCACCATGAACAAAATGGGTACATCACCAATTGATATGGCTGGAATTTTCCATTTGGAAGACTCAAAGCCAGGACTGGAGGGAGGGCTGAGAGAGAGAGGAAGGATTAGAATGTCCCTTCTGTGTTCCGTGGTCTGAGACTGTGACAAGACAAAAGATGAGTCCAAAAAGGCCTGGAACCTCAGGGTCAGAGGGAGATGGCTTTAGGAGAGGGCCATGTCTGATCTCAGGATGGGAACCAGACAGAAAGGAAGAAATTATAGCTCAGAATAAAATTAGAAAACTTGCACACCTCTAACGTAACTAGTCCCAGCAGAGAGAAGAAAGAAAGGTAGTTTAAAATTGGAATATTAACACATTTAGCTCTCTGATGTAGAATCCGATTAACAATTTCACTGACACTGCATCCGTGGAAAAAGCCGTGATACCAATCACCAAAGAAACAACTGGCATTTTGTCACAAATGGTTTCCATCAGAAGCAGACTCTTAAACACTTTGCTAACAGGCAATATTACAAGGTGATTTGTGGAAGGTGATTTTAGCACGAATACTTTTTACTCCAACTTCAGAGACATTCTCAACTCGGAAACACACTCTGCCTGCAACACACAGGGTCCAAATGAATACTTGCTAATGGTTTCTTGCCTGGGGTGACTGGAAATACATTTTCATAAAAATGTGTGTGTGTGTGTGTGTGTGTGTGTGTGTGTGTGT